GGCACTGCAGGGCACTTCCATTGAGTCATTAAGATTATTTACATTAAGAACACGTACTCATCATCACTCCCATTTCCTCCGGAAGAGGATAAAGAGGATGAAGGGGACTCAGTGCTGTGACTGAGGGAGCCAATGGGACCACCTCGGGAGAGCCAATGCCTCGTATTTCCTGCCAGCTCCACTTTCATTAAATGTCTTCACCCTGTCAGCTTCAAAGTGGCCACCGTGGGAGTATTCACACCAAAGGATTGGCAAATGCTCTAAGTCAGGACCCCTTTCCCTCCATCCCGTGAGAGCTAATGTTTTTAAACATTTGCCAGCATACTGCTGAAATTAGGATTCAGACTTACTCAATTAATGACTAGAGTGAGGTTAAATTGCTGGCTAAGAGGCCAAGTCCAGGCTCTTGGCTCTAAGACTAGAGACCATTAGGGAAACTGATGAGTCAACAGCGAAATAGGAGCCAATTTCTGACTCTGCTGCATAGCTCCGTGAGTGCCTGGGCCGGCATAGCAAGGACACGGGTGAGCAGGTCAGAGACAGGAGGCCGCCCCAAGCCCTCTTCTGCCTTATGCGTGGGATTGAAGGGACCCAGCCCGGATCTCAGAGCCACGGCGTGGAGCACACCTGTAACCCAAACGCAGCAAGACACCAAGTGAGAGTTTTCTGATTCACCATGGAGATTGCTGGACACTGCAGATGAGAGGTACTAAAAAAAAATACTATTTTTGCTTTAACTGGAGGGAAGAATTGTGCAGGCTGAATTCCAGCAGGCATATCCAAGTAACTAAATAATTTGTAGTAAAAAAACCCTCTGAAATGGCCAATGTGCTTTTTACTTGGATTACATAGAAATTCAGGCAGATCTAGTGCAAAAATTCTGAAGGGTTAAAACATGAGTATTTAATATTCCAAGAGCCAAAAATGTTTAGAAGAGCCCACTACCTTTTGCAGGCCCATTTTCATCTCGATCAGCCCAGCAGATATTCTGTTATTCCACTAATCTCTTCACTTCCAAGAGAAATGTGTCCAGTCAGACATGCATGCACCTCTGTGGAACTCTGTTCACCGCTCCTAACATTTTTTTTCTGTAAATCGGCAGGGTCACTATGGCACTATCACTGTGCTTTAGAACATTTGACCACCCAGGGGTGCTTTTTAATGATTTATTAAAAATGTATATTTTATTGATTATGTTATGCTATTACTGTTGTCCCATTTGCCCCTGTTTATTCCCTGCGGCCCCTTACTTCATGTTCGTGGACCATGCATATAAATTCTTTGGCTTCTCCATTTCCCATACTGTTCTTAACCTCCCCCTGTCTATTTTGTATCTACCATTTATGTTTCTTATTCCCTGTACTTTTCCCCCCATTCTCCCCCTCCCCACTGATAACCCTCCATATGATCTCCATTTCTGTGATTCTGTTCCTGTTCTATTGTTCCTTACTTTTTGTTTTTGTTTTTTTAGGTTCAGTTGTTGATAGTTGTGAGTTTGTTGTCATTTTACTATTCATAGTTTTAATTTTCTTCTTTGTATTAGATAAGTCCCTTTAACATTTCATATAATAAGGACTTGGTGATGATGAACTCCCCTGCATGTATGAAGGGCTTTAGTTATTGACTTTTAAGAAGTTTTAGTATAAGAAAATTCTTAATGTGGAAAATATTTTTAATAACCAACAGTCCACTTACTTCAAAAAAGTCACTATAAATTCCAGACAGAGTTATAACTGCCTTTGGGAATAGGTTTGAGAAGAATTTGAGCCCCATAAGCTCCATAAAGCAGACAATGAGAGCTTAGCAATTGTTAACTAACTTAGTAATTGCTAACTATAAATTTAGTGATGGTTAACTTAGTAATTGTTAAGCTGAACACCTGAAGCAGGCAATGGGGACTTAGCAATTACTAACTGTTAAGAAAATGTAAGTAGAGAATGTGTTCTATTCCAGTTGTCCTTGAAGTACCAGCACAACCAAACTTCCAGGCGAAGTCCCTCACACCAACCGCGGCATTGGCCAGGCCTGCGACCCGCAACACAGTCAAGAACTAGTTCCTGCGCCTCTGCTGTGACTTTCCTGTGCTCTCCGGGCCTCTCCATCACAGGACCCAAATCGTCTGACTCCGTTTGGGTCCCACGGCATTGAAGTTTGTCCCCACACGAACGTCCCTCGTTCCCCCCATTTGCATATGCCCTCCTGAGTGGAAGAGGAGAGGACCCAGGCGGAGGCAGCCCCCAGGGTCTTGCACAGAACCCTGCCTGGCCCTGGGAGTGAAGTGTGTGTCTCATCCGCGGGAGTGGGGGTGGGGGGAGAAGAAACGCTGAGAGACCGCCGTGGGGGCAGGACCAGGCCTGGTCCCTGGGGCCGTGGGAGCGCCTGTGGTGTGGGGGAGGCCTGTGTCTGCCTCACTCCCATCCCTGTCCCCTCCCCGCCCCTCCCCCGACCGAGGCCCACCCTATCCCCAGCACAGCTCTGCTGGACCAGGGAGGGTCCCAGAGCCCGGGGCCTGCCTGTCCCAGGCTGTCCCTGTCCCTGTGGGTCCCTGCTGAGGGTTGGAGGGGCGCACAGGGCGGCCCTGGAGAGTCCCTGCGGGAGGTGGATCAGCGCGGGAGGCCCCTCCCCTGTGCAGAGGGGGCGAGGAAGGAAGAAAGCGGGTTTTGAGAATGGCCTGTGCTCAGGGCCTCTGTGTCCCGGGCGCCCTCGGCTCCCAGTGCCAGGCCTACCTAGTCCGGCTTCATCCACCGCCGCGTCCTGGAAGGGCGGGAGGACGCGAAGGTGCCAAACCACAGGAGCAGAGGCAGGAGCAGAGGGAGGGGCGCAGGAGTCCGGTGTCAGCTCTGGGGCCTGTGGCGTCAGGGAGAAGCACAGTGGGGCCCTTGTACCGTGGGCAGGACTCTTCAGAAGCAAAGTTTGAACGTCCAAAGAATGTGGGAAGCGTTCAGCAAGCCTCCTGTTCAACCAGCAGTTAGGACGCTGTATCCACTCCGCAGAGCTGGTGCGGACTCTCCAGGGAACTGGAGAGGAGAAGGACCTGGGCTCCACCCTCCACGGGTCTGCGACTCTCAGAGAGCTGGGAACCCAGATCCCCAGACACGATGCCAACCGTGACTGGCACGCCACGCCCTGGGCGGGTCACTGGTGAGAAGAGGATTCTGGCCCCGGAGACACTCAAGTTCCATCCAGTCACCGTTTCACAAACACGTGTTCGATATCCATTTTAGACACCTTAAGTGCAAGACTTATGTGACACATTTAAGTGAAGACATTCAGGCGTGCAGCCCAGAGCCTACAGAAATCTAAGTCTGGGATAAACGCAATGGAGGAGATCACCAAGGAGCAAGTGCAGGGAGGGAAGGGCCCCCAGAAGGGTGTGCGGGTGGGTGGCTGGTGCAGCAAAGGGGGGGAGGCAGCCAGGGAGATGTTGCCTTGTTCTAACCTGCTAGCGCGGGTGACGCCGCGTTAACAGAAGTGTACTTCCAGGGACGTGGGACCCAGCGGGCCCTTCTGTGTGACCATGGGATGCGCATGAAGACCGCGCTGCCAGCTCCTCAGTGAGGAGCGCTTTCTGCAGCACGAGGTGGGCGTGAGGACCATGGCCCTCCACCAGCCGCCCCCGAGGTTTGCCGGACACAGCACTGCGCACTGGTTGTTATTGTTACTGCATTCGGTCTGCACTGCACCCTTCCAGGCAGGAATGACCGTGGGGTGTAGAGAAGTTGGGTCACCTGCCCAGACCCAGTGGCCAGCAGGAGGCCAGGTCGGCTTCCACCCGTCTCTGGCGGCCCAGGCCTGGCAGGAACAGGCACCAGGTTTAGAACCCACCGCCTGTGGTCTGTCTGAATTCATAGGACAGGGCCTGTCCAGGGCCTGCGAGGAGCTATCCACCTAACAGAAGTTGGACAGAACAAATTAGCTGGACCAGTCAAGCCTGGCCCTGTGTCGATAAGCTTCAGCTGTGTGTTAGGTAATAAGTCAGTTATCAAACCTGGTTCTGTCTTTACTCCTGTGTTCTCTTGGTTTCAGGGTTTGGTCATCTCTTTTCACGGTTAATAAAACTCACCCTATTTACTGAATTTTCCGTGTTAAGTCTGCTTCTCCCCATCCTTTCTCTGCCTTCAGTATCCCTCCGAATCCTGATGTGGAAATCACAACTCCTCCCGTTTTTCAAGCCCGTCACCTCGACGCCAAACTACTCTTTTCCTAATTGTTTCTGTAGGTCCCTTCTGTTCTGCAGGTCAAGTCCTTGCCTTCCTTCCTCTAGAGCAGCCACTGTCTTGTCTGCTATCTTCGTTTTAGTCATCACTGTTCCCTGTTTATTTCCAAATCATTTCAAAATCTTTGTGCACTTTCTCCCAGTGAAAGTGACAGTACTTTGTTCTGAGCCATGACGCCTTCTGCTCTTTCATCCTCTCTCAGGGTCTTCCTGGGAAAACAGCCCATGTTGGGGATGCTCCCAGGTGAGCAAGGGAGCCCCACGGCTGCCCCTCCCCATGAGGGTGTGTGTGCGGGCGCCCCTGGGGCAGGCATGGGGGCCGCTCTGTTCGTCCTTATCTCCCATCCACACTGTCCTCCTCCTCCCAACAAAAGCCACACATCCCGTCACCTACCTGCAGACTCATTTTGAGAATGTTTATTTATATGAGGTGTTTATATAAGACTGTGTGGAGTTTTTATTTTGTTCGTGTGTGCATCACACTATAGTTTTGGGGGTAGGAGTAGAGTTCGATGTGTTTTTTGGAGTCCAGTCTGACATGGGGGCCTGGAAGGAGTATAAACTTGTGCGAACATTTGCACACATCCGTGGTATCTGACAGGATGCCTGCTCAGGACTTACAATCAGAGCGGGTAGAGCGAAGGATGTATTTGTTCTCCACTAACAATGAGTCAGCTTATTTATGGTCTAATGCTGATGTTTCTTCTTAACAAATTACCAAGTATAAATTATTACTCTCTGGTTTAATGAACTGAGGTAAAACAAAACAAAACAAAAACCCCACTGTATATTTTGTACTAAGGCCAAATAATATGAGTAGTAGGCCCTGGGACCTACAGAAAGAATGGAAGGACTGAAATACATGATGAAACTGGAGAGAAAAAGGAAAGAAAAGAAAAGGCAATCACAGATTTAAAGACAATTTATGTTTTGCTTTCTAATAACCGAAGGAACGCTTTTCCAGGAAGTGGGGGCTGTGGGGAGCGGGGAGAGATCAGCACATAAGTTCATCTAGATGAATTTCCCTTTAAGATGTGCTCACTGGTTGCTGTTTTATCCTTTTCTCTCCCCATTCCCCCTCTCTCTCTCTTTCCCCTCCCCCAGTCTCTGTTTCTCCCTCTATCTCTTTCCACCGTTTCACCGGCTGTAAGGCGGATTCTACCAGGCATCATGAGCAAGGAAATGAAATCCCATGCTGAAGTGGGCCAAGCGCAGATGGCAGCCTGGGACGGACGTCAGCACCGGGGACAAAACCCAAAGGACAGCTGTGTGGTCCATTTTCCTGCACACGTGGCATTGTAAACTGCAAGTGGAAGCTCTGGAAGGTTCACTGTTATTTAAACTGCGGTGTCCACAACAACAGTCACTAGCCACATGTGGCTATTTGAGTTTAAATTAAAATGAAATGAAATAGAAGATTCAGGCCTCAGTCGCCCCAACCACGTTCCAGCAGCCACGTGTGGCCTGTCACTGCGGTGCCGGGCAGCACGACAGACAGTGTCTCCGTCACTGCAGGGCATTCTATTGCACAGACTCGACCCTGGGCTTACCTCTTTTCCAGTGTAAGGGGGGTGGGACCTCCCAAATTTTCGGTGGTAACCCATATGTATCACTGTTTTCTGATCACCTCACATACTATAACACAAATGACTGAATACGTTTGCCCCCAACACACATAATACAACAAATCAAAGATGTCTTGGCTGGAGCAACTTAAAATATTGAAGAACCAGGACAAGAGGAAATCAAATACAAAACTACCGACTCTGGATCCAAACTTCACGCTGTCTCCCCTGTGAGGCTAGGTCCTCAGGCCAGTGCCATTTCTGGGCACCTCCTTGTCTCCTGTTCTTTCCAACTATTTTATTTTTTAAACAAAATAATTTTTACATTGGTAGCAAGACATCATTCAATTTATTCAATGATAAAGCCACTATACCTACGTCATAGTCAATACAAACTGCTGCCAGAAAATGCCGAGAAAACCCCGGTTATGGAGGAATCACCAAGAAAGCATAAGATCTGAGCAACATGACTGAAGAAAAAAAAAAAAAAAAGACTCATTCAAGTTAAGACAACCAGAACAGCAATACTGATTTTTCCTTTAAAAATCAACTGTATAAAGTCCACAATCTAGACTTTTAATTTCACATTTACTTTCACACTGTGTTCTGACCAACCACGAATCTTCCCAAGTACATTTTAAATACATCTCATCATATTACTAGGTGATAAAATTATTTTCCTCATTCATTTACCTGATTTTCACGATTGTCTAGCTGACAAAAACACACTTGAAAAGCAGTATGTGACTTTAATTCCCCGGAATAAAAGCAAGTAATTCAATGAAGATGATCAATACTCAACTAAGAATATAGTTTTCACAAGTAGTGGGCAGATCAGAGTTTATAACCAGACACTGGTTATACATAAAAGTCAGGAGCCTGAGATACAATAGCATATACTCACATCCTGATTCAAAATCAACTGCTGCACACTCTTCTGGGCCACAAAATGGTAATGAACTTCATAGACAGCATACGGCTCACTGTGGAGTGTGGTCTTTATCCTCCTCACCCCATAGCTTGAGCTGACGAAGACGACTTAAAATCTTCTCAAAATCAACTTTTGGGAGATAAATATTATAATTAAATAAGGAGATAAACTTCTAATCAATCACAATAATGAAAATATGGTTTGCCTCTTATTTGAATCCCCTCTTAATAATGTCTCTGTGTGTCAGCATCTGCAATATATCTCAGTAGTAACAGACTTAATGCTCAAGTCATTGGCCAACTCGGTGTTTCAACTGGGAACTGTGTATGAAACCCTGCATCCCTGCCGGCTACAGCATCACAGCTGGCAGGGCTGGAAAGGAAACAGTTCTGTTTTGAGCATGGGCAAAAACAACGCAGCACCTCACAGCTACATTGTAACTAGACCCTGCTTTAGTGTATTAAGGAAATAATGACATAGTAACAATGTCTTAATTACTGGGAAATAGCCACTCTTATCACACCAGAAATGGAAATTCCTGTCACATATTTTTCCCAGAAGCCAACCTAGCTTTCGCCTTGTGTTCTGAAAAAGATCAGCCTATGCACTTGTTGATCTCTCATACATCACAAGGAACATGCAATCTCCTTCCCTACAGTATTTCAGAGAGAAAAATGTTAATACATATCAGAGTTGCAGTTAACAGCCATTTGATTTCTAATTCTCATCTTTACCACTGGAAGAGACCAGTTAGAAATTTATTCTATTAATTCTGCTCAAGTGCAGCTCTTTTATTGTATCGAATCTTAGAATAAAGTACCCTGAACTAAAAAAAAAGTAGTTTTTACTACCTGGAGTAGTTGTTTTTCTTCTTGTGTTTGCTCTGCTAGCTTTATCACAAATACTTAGATATACTAGGTTCTGCTATTTTGACACAGAGCTTAAATAAGGAGGTTAAAAATAAAATCCTGGCTATAATTTTAGATACATGAAATAGAAAAACATTACCCTCTTTCGAGGGCCGATTCTTCCCTCTTCACCAGAGTTTGGAAGGGATCTCATGGATGGATGACTAGCAGCAGATGGACTGGAATCAGGCAGAAAGCAACACAACCTGAAAAAGAGACCATGACTATGTTGATACATCGGTCAAACGGATATTTCAGTTTTCATGGTAATACTTAAAGAAATAATGTCTGAGACCAAGCGTCCCTGTCTTGCTACAGAAGTGAGCCGGACAGAGATTGCAGAGACAATTGCTCTGGGCAGGGGAAAGGACAATGTAGCACTGCACAGCCACATTGTGACAGTGAGCCCGGCCCACCAGCAACGGGAAAATCAGGTGGTGCTCCAATACCTGGATTAATTTCTGGTAAATCTTGGAGACTTGGGCCTTAATTCCTTGGCTCCACATATTTATTTGCTTCATCCAAAACAAGCACCTTGATCCACTTTGGAAAAAATTTTTTAAGAGATTTACTTTAAGTGTTGGTCATACGTAGAGACTTCTTCCCAAAGACTGTGGTGTGGAACCGGAGGGAAAAGGGGAACTTCACAGTGGAGACGCCTCTTAACTACTACTTCAGTCAGGTGGTCAAGGTCAACATCATCAGTCCAAACCTTGATATAACGAGCAAGTGGCACTTTACCCCTGTGGTCCTCCTCCCAAAAAAGCCCGAACACCAGTCTAACCTTCAGAAAAACCTCAGACAAATGTCAATACTGAGGCATTCCACAAAAAACAGGATTGATGCTCCTCAAAACTGCCACGGTCATCATGAACAAAGAAAGTCTGACCAAGTGTCACAGCCAAGAGAAGACCTGACAATTAAATGCAGCGTGGTGGCCTGGGTGGGGTCCTGCAACAGAAGAAGACATTAGGTGAAAACTAAGGAAAGCTGAATAAACTTGGAACTTAGGTCATAATAATGTATAGGTGTTGCTTCACTCATTTTAACAATGTACCATACTAATATAAGACGTTACTAATATGCAAAACCATGTGCAAGGCATATGGGAACTCTCTGTACCATCTTCTTTTTTTAAAATTTTTTTACTGATTATGCCATTACAGTTGTTCTATTCCCCCTTCATTCCCCTCCACCCTACCCCCCGTCCCCACCATTACCCCCCCTTTAGTTTATGACCATGTGTCTCAAGTTCTTTAGATTCTATATTTCCCATGCTATTCTTGCCCCCCCCATCTATTTTCTATCTACTGTCTATGCTTATTTTCTGTACCTTCTCCCCCCTTCTCCTCCTCCCACTCCCCTGTTGCTAACCCTCCTTGAGATCTTCATTTCTACGTTTCCACTCCTGATCTAGCTGTCCTTTTAGTTTGCTTTCGTTTTAGGTGTGGTTGTTAATAACTGTGAGTTTGCTGTCCTTTCACTGTTCATGTTTTTTTAACTTCTTTTTCTTAGATAAGTCCCTTTAGCATTTCATATAATAAGGGCTTGGTGATGATGAACTCCTTGAATTTGATCTTATCTCAGAAGCACTTTATCTGTCCTTCCATTCTAAATGAAAGCTTTGCTGGATAGAGCAATCTTGGTTGTAGGTCTTTGGATTTCATGACTTGGAATACCTCTTTCCAGCCCCTTCTTGCCTGTAAGGTCTCCTTTGAGAAATCCACTGACAATCTGATGGGGACTCCTTTGTAGGTGACTGTCCCCTTAGCTCTTGCTGCTTCTAGGATTCTCTCCTTCATTTTAATCTTGGCTAATGTAATTATGATGTGCCTTGGTGTGTTTCTTCTTGGGTCCAACTTCTTTGGGACTCTCTGAGCTTCCTGGATTTCCTGAAGTCTATTTCCTTTGCCAGATTGGGGAAATTCTCCTTTATTATTTGTTCAAATAAGTTTTCCACTGGTAGCTGTTCCTTTCCCCCTTCTGGTACCCCTATAATTTGGATGTTGAAGCATTTAAAGATGTCCTGGAGGTTCCTAAGCCTCTCCTCATTTTTTTGAATTCTTGCTTCTTCACTCTTTTCTGTTTGGCCATTATTTGCTTTCTTCTGGTCCACTCCATTGATTTGAGTCCCAGTTTCCTTTTCATCGCTATTGGTTTCCTGTGCAATTCCATTCATTTCAATTAGTTTCGCCTTCATATATTTGTCTAATTTGTGGCTATAATCAACCGGTTCTGTGAGGATGCTGATCACCAGTGTTTTAAACTGTGCATCTGAGAGTTTTGCTATTTCTTCATTGCTTAGATTTATAGGCTCTGGGGCTTTGAGATCTTCTTGAGCCATTTTTGGTCTTTTCGCACCCATTAAGTACGAGAAGCGGAGCCTTCGACTCCCAGGTCGCTGGTTTGTGATGCTGTATGTGGGGGCGTCAGAGCGGGGAAATGGCAGCACCCTCTGCTGTTTAGCGCCGCTGGGTGAGGAGCGGAGCAGAGCCTTAGGTGGTTTACCAGGGCAGGGCCACTTAGGTCGCTGGGTTATGACGCTGTATGTGGAGGCGGGGTCAGAGTGGGGAAATGGCGGAGCCCTGCCGCTTGCCGCGGGCTGCTAGCTCTCGTCCAGTCGCCCACTCCCTCACTTGTCTATCCACACACGAATGCGCGACCACAGTCAACCCGCAGCCCTGCTCCCTCGCTGTTTCCCGCGGTTGCTCGCTGAGTTGCCCACCAGGTCCAACCCTGTGTCTGGATTCCGCGCGCCTGAATCCGTCTGACCGAGTTTTCCTGTGCGACCCCGCTCCGCCAGCTGCTGGATTCGCCACTCTTACCGGTCAGGCTGAAGAATTCGTTGTTATCAGACTTCCGAAAAGTTCAATTTTCTGTGTTCTGGCTGTGTTTTCTGTTGCTAATATTTAGTTGTCTCTAAACTTGGTTGTGTGAGGAAGCACGGTGTCTCCACCTATGCCTCCATCTTGGCGGAAGTCAGAATCTCCCCATCTTCTCAATTTGTCTGTAAACTAAAATCACTCTAAAAACAAAGTCTATTAAAGAGAAGTTTTTGTATTACCTCTAAATATTGATGCATGGCAACTGGCTTAAGCAATTTTGCTAATTATTCTTTTCCCATAACCCACAAATCACTGGTTAAAAAAGGCTTTAGAAAAAACATGGTAATACTTACAAAGATATCTTTTCTTTAACACCTCTTGTTCTCCCTGGAGTACTGATAACCACTATGTGCTGCAACAGTCTGCATTTTTTTGCATTTCGTTTGGACACTGATTCCACAAAGCAGGCATGACAAGTCGCTTCCAGATAGTATTCAAGTGCCAGAATCACCTTTTGAATCTAAAAGTCAAAGGTTTAAATTATTATGGTAGAAATAAAGGTTCCATCAAATGACTTCTGAAGCACAAGGCTAAATGCTGAACTATTCATATTTAGTTTACAATTCTGGTCTGCAAACAGCTTTTCCCTAACACAACACAGAATCACTTCTAAGTTTATAATTAATCAAACAGCTTCATCATAAAATCCTTTTAAGTGTCTCATTTTTTAAAAACTCCTCACTTGAGAATATGCTTATTGATTTTAGAAAACGAGGAAGGGAGAGAGAGAGAAAGAAACACCCATGTGAGAGAGAAACATTGATTGGTAGCCTCTCATATATGTGCAGACTGGGGATCACACCCACAACCTGGCATGTGCCCGGACCTGAAATCGAACCTGCAACCTTTTGGTGTACATAAGGACACTCTAACCAATTGAGCCACCAGCCAGGCCTAAGTGTCTCATTTTTAATTAGATTTTTGTGCCTTTGCAGACCTGGGATCCTCAGTTTCTTAGAGACACTAGCTGGACAATTAAAGAACCAAACAAACATATCCTTTCTTCTTCTTCTATGTGTAAGACATGTAAGTAGTAAAACAAGCTCTGTTTTTACAGTTCAAGGTAAATTGTTCTGACATGTATTTGCTGATTATGATTTACTTTAAAAATAAGTATCTTTTCAACAGGAAACTGTGACTTACACAGCCTTGATAATAATAAAGCTTACAGTTAAGAAAGGTTTGATTAAAAGAAAATACAGCAGTGAACTTTGAAAACAGTGTTGGGGCCACCCTAAAATATCCCACAGTGGCATACTGATTACTTTGAATTAAAGTTACTTGACAAGCGGTTGGTGCAAGAAGGGCCCACTGATCTTCGCCTGTTGCCTTGAAAGCAGGAAATAAATCTCTGCAGCTAAAGGCGCTCCCCTCGCTGCAGAGCAGCTAAAGGGAGACACCCTCATCACCTGAGTGAGGAATCCAGGGCCAAAAAGCTTCCATTAACCAATCCTGTTACTTCTTTACTAATTTACTATACAAGCCCAAACTTTGTTTAGATTCCTCTAAAAATAAATAAAAAAAATATTTTTAAAAAAGAATAAAACATACTGTTTCCCTCACTAGAAATAGCCACTGACTATAAACCCATTTTCTGATTTTAACCATAACCCTATAGTCATTTTTGATGCTGGTCATGTTTCTTCTTGTTTATATATAATACAATAAAAATGAAAATACATAAAATTATACATGCATAGCAATGAATGGTACAGATATGTAAATATCTTATTACATTAGCCCAGCTTATAGATATTTGATTTGGTAAAATCATTATGTTTTAATTATTATTGAACAGTATGTTTTTTTTTCACTGAAATTCAAGATATCCTTAACATTCTTAATTGCTTGGATTTTTTCAACTTAAAATTTAAAAACTTAATAATATTTAATAATTTATGCCTAAGAATCACTTATTAAAAGTCAAATTATAATGGTTAATAACAGCTACAATTAATTAGGTACTTTCAATGTCCCAGACACTTGATGAGGATTTAATACAACAATTCCATGAAGTGGATAATTATCATCATCCACATTTTAAAGAACAGGTAGCTGAGGCCCAGAGAGATGATGTAACTTTCCCATTTCCATCCAGGGGATGGAACTGTGCTACGAATCCCGGTGTATCTCACTCCAGAATTTGAGCTCTTAGCTTCTACACACTACACTGCTTTAATCCTACCTTTACAGTGATGTGTGGATCTCCTGCAATGCATGTGAATAAAACCTGCAATTGCATCAAAACCAAATGATATGCCATTGTGATATTATAAAAGCAACTTCCAACATCATATAGAAAAATAAATATTCTTTGATCGTTTAATGCAGTTATTTCTTCCCCAATATAAATGCCACAAATATAAATGCCACAGTGGGGAACTTGAACATAAAGCAACTGTCCAGCCCTTCTGAAAGATAAATCTGCTTTTCTTAACTAGATTCGTTCCAACAACGAGAAAGAATTCCCCAGGAGTCTTTGAACTGCAAACCTGGTGAAGAACAGCAGAACTGAAATGGGCTTTTAAGGCGTCCTAGCCCCAGGACGCCTTACTCACCGGTTCTGTACAGATGGGCAAGTAAGTGCCTTTCGGTTAAATCAGAACATGGATTAGCACCAGTCCGCATACAGGGAGCGCCGTGAAATCACCCTGAAAACCCACACTGTAAATGGTTAGGAGGCGTAAGGATGTTATTCTTGTCTGGGGCTGCCAGACAAAAGACAGGATGCTCAGTTAAATTTCAGACAAATAACAAAAAATGTATATTTTATAACATTATGTTTTACATTTTAATTTTACCTTATGTTGGGGACATAGTTCTATTAAAAGATTATTTGTCGTTTATCTAAAATTTAAATTTAACTAGCACCTTGTATTTTCAACGCCAAGTCTAGCAACCTTATTCTCTCTCACGCGGCGAGGGGCACAGAAAGGCTGGCAGGCCCAGCGCCACTCCCCCACCTCGAAGGGAGAAACTGAGGAAAACGGCAAGGAAGGGGAAGAAAGGGAAGGGCTGGTTGTAGGAGGACTCCCTCTAGGAGGCGGAGAGAAAGCAGAATTCCCTGACGCGCAGCTTCTTCCCTCTCCACCTCCGCCCCACAGACCTTCTATGCTCCCGGTGGCCAAACGCACCACCCCGCCCCTCGCCACGCCCTTACCGCCCCGGCTGAGGCTGCCTGCTCCGGCTCGGGCAGCAAGACATCACACAGGCCTCCGCCATTTCCCTGAAGCCTGGCCCCTTGCAAATGTGTGGCTCTGATGCCTACCCACACCGTCCCTCCATCCTATACAGAAATCTCTTGTCCTACTCTGGCCACCGTCTCGTCCAAACCAAGAAATAGGCCAATCCGACAGGGGCATTCGGGAGGGCGCGTCACTGCGCAAACCAATCAGAGAACAGAGCAGGGTTCAGTGGCGATTGGCCAATCGGACTGTGTCCTTTCCCTACCCCTTGGGCTGGGCTCCAACTGGAGGGGTTTGCTTTGACCTCAGCCTCCGTAGGGACCGTGGGAGTGGGGTCCGTTTGTCCTCCTGTGGTTGGAGGGTTCTTTTTCTCTCTTGGGCTCCAGGGCCAGGAACCCTCATGACCTTTGAACTTTAGAGCCTCTAAGGACAGAGGGTAGCTGTAGTCAGATTTAAACCAGTATGGGGTAAGGAAAAGAAAAAATTTTGTTTTCTAGAATGTGAAAACATTTAGAAAAATTCTCTCCTTAATCATCTCGAAATCAAAATTACGGAATTCTTGGACTGATTTTTTTTCTATAATGCTATTTTAAAAATTGAGATGTAATCGACAAATTGACATATAACATTGTGTAAGTTTAAGGTGTATCTATACAATGGGTTGATTTGATACACTTATGTATTGCATAAGATTATCATCATAGCCATAGCTAACACCTCTATCACATCACATTATTATTTCTTTTTTTGTGGTAATGATATTTAAGATCTAGCCTATTAGCAATCTTGAATTATATAATATAGTATTGTTGACTATAACCACTATGCAGTGCATTAAATCTCCAGAACTTATTCAACTTTGGGTTGCAAGTTGGTGGACTTTATTTTTTTATAGCAGTTTTAGGTTCGCAGCAAAATTGAGCAGAAGATACAGAGATTTTCCATATACTGCTTGCCACCACATATGCATAGCCTCCCCCATCATCCATGTCCCCAACCAGAGTGGTGCGTTCGTTATAGTGAATGAGCCTCCATCGACACATCATAATCACCTGTTCTTTCCTCCCTGCTCGTAACTCTTGGCAACCACCAATCTTTTTCTGAATGTCACATAGTAGGAAACAGCCATTTCAGATCGTCTTCTTTCACTTAATATTTATGCATTTAAGCTTCTTCCTTGTTTTTTCACGACTTGATAGCTTATTTCTAACGCTGAATATACTCCATGGTCTGGATGTACCACAATTTATCTACTCATTCACTTACTGAAGGACATCTTGGTTGTTTCCAAGTTTTGGCACTTATGAATAAAACTCCTACAAATACCAATGTGCAGGTTTTTGTGTGGACATAATATCAAGGAGCACAATTTTTTAATCACACGGTAAGAGTATGTTTAGTTTTGTGAAAAATTGTCCAAATTCTCTTCCAAAGTGTCTGTATCATTTTGCATTCCCACCAACAATGAATGAGAATCCCTGTTGCTCCACATCCTTACCAGCATTTGGTGCTGTCAGTGTTTAGGATTTTGGCTATTCTAGAGCAAGTGTGCAGTGTTTGTCATTGTCATTTTAGTTTACAAATTCCCTGATGATGTGTGATGTGGAACATCTTCTCATATGTTTATTTGCCATCTTCTTTGCTGATGTGTATGGTAAGGTCTTTGATTCATTTTTATGATCAGCTTGTTTGTTCTTTTACTGTTGAGTTTTAAAAAAAATTTTTACTCACTGCTTTTTAGAGAAAGAGGAAGAGAAGGAAACATTGATTTGTCTTTCCACTTTTTTATGCATTCACTGGTTGACACCTGTGTGTGCTCTGCCCAGGGATGGGATCTGAAACTCTGGCACATCGGGACAGTGCTCTAACCAAGTGAGCTACAGGGGCAGGGCCCTTCAGTTGAGTTTTATGGGTTCTTTTTATATTTTAGATAACAGTCCTTTAGCAGATATATCTTTTGTAAATATTTTCTCCCAGTCTGAAGCTTCTCTTTTTATTCTCTTGGTAGTGTCTACACACAGCAGAAAACCTTACTGTTAATGAAATCCGGCTTACCAATTCTTTCTTTCATGGGCCATGCCTTTGGTGGAGTATCTAGACAGTCTTTACCAAACCCTAGGTAATCTAGGTTTTATTTTTTCTTTTAAAAAATTATATTTTATTGGTTATGCTATTACAGTTATCCTGATTTCCCTCTCTTTGTTCCTCTCCACCCAGCACGCACACTCCCTCAGGCAGTCCCCCCACCACTGTTCATGTCCATGGGTCACGAGTATAAGTTCTTTTGGCTACTCCGTTTCCTATACTCTACGTTACATCCATGGCCATTCTGTGACTACCTATTTGTACTTCTTAATCACCTCAGCTCTTCACCAATTCCCCCATACCTTCCTCCCATCTGGCAACCATCAAAATGCTCTCTGTATCCACGATTCTGTCTTTGTTCTTCTTGTTTGCTTCGTTTGTTTTTTAGATTCAATTGTTGGTAGATTTGTATTTATTGCCATTTTATTATTCATAGTTTTGATCTTCCTTATTTTTTAAAATAAGTCCCTTAACATTTCATACAATAATGGTTTGGTGATGATTAACTCCTTTAGTTTTTTAGAACTCCTTTAGTTCTTGTTTGGGAAGCTCTTTATCTGCCCTTCAATTCTAAGTGATAGCTTTGCTGGGTAGAGCAATCTTAGCTGTAGGTCCAAGCTTTTCATGACTCTGAATATTTTTTGCCAATCCCTTCTAGCCTGCAAAGTTTCTTTTGAGAAATTGGCTGACAGTCTTATGGTAACTCCTCTGTAGGTAACTAACTTCTTTTCTTTTGTTGCTTCTAATATTCTTTATTTTTAAACTTTGACATCTTAATTATGATATGTCTTGGAATGGGCCTCTTTGCATCTATCATAATTGGGACTCTTTGTATTTCCTGGGTTTGCAGATCTATTTCCTTCACCAAATTAGGGAAGTTTTTGCTCATTATTTTTTCAAATAGATTTCCAGTTTCTTGCTCTTTCTCTGCTTCTTCTGGTACCTCTATGATGCAAATGTTGAACCTCTTGAAGTTGTCCCAGAGGCTACTTATTCTGTCCTCATTTTGGGGGATTCTTTTTTCTTCTAATTGTTCTGATTTGTTGTTTTTTGCTTCCTTACGTTAGAAATCATGGATTTGATTCTCAGCTTCATCCACTCTATTGTTGTTTCCCTGCAAATTATTCTTTATTTCAATTAGTGTATCCTTCATTTCTGGCTGGACCTTTTTTATGCTGCTGAGGTCCTCACTAAATTCCTTGAGCATACTTATAAATAGTGTTTTGAACTCTGCATCTGGTAGATCACTTATCTCCATTTAATTTAGCTCTTTTTCTGGAGTTTTCATCTGTTCTTTCATTTGGGCCATGTTTCTTTGTTTCCTCATTTTAGCAGCCTCCCTGTGTTTGTTTCTGTGTGTTAGGTAGAGCTGCTCTGACTGTGTCTTGGTGGTATGGCCTAATGAGGTGGGTGTCTTGTAGGGTCCAGTGGCACAGCCTACCCTACCACCCAAGCTGAGTACTTGAGGTGCATGCTTTGTGTAGGCTGAGTACACCCTCCTTTAGTAGTTGAGCCTTGGTTGTTGTTGGCAGGTCAATGGGAGGAATTTACGCAGGCCAGTCAGTTTCAAGGATTGGCTGTGACCATTTACACACCAACCTCCACCCTGCGTGGAGGGTCAGCTGTGTAGAGGCAGGGTTGTGGTACTCCCATGTGGTCTGTAGCTGCCCACTGGGTGTGCTGGCCCTGGGGTTTTCTGGGTGGTGCAGGCCAAGGTCAGCCTCCACCTGTGTTTTGCCTGGGGCCCACCTGCATGAGCTATAAAACAATCTGAAAAGGCTGCTACTTGTGGTGGGCTTGGAGATTCCCAGGTGACCCAAGCTGTGAATCTAAGCTGGCTGCTGATGGTGCCAGGCCTGAGGCTCACTGAGGCCAGCTGTTGCTTGTTTGAGAAGATTGAGGAAGTTGTGAAGCATGAGCCAAGATCAGCCATTCATATAGAAAAGCAGCTTGGGTGGGTTCGTTAGTTGGGTCAGCAGAGTCTCTGGGCATCTCCAAGATGGGTTAAGCAATGTTATCCAGGTTGATGGAGTCTCAGGTATGGTACCAGCGTGTCAGCTCTTTGGGTGTGATTTTAAAGCAGGGACAATGGCCTCTGCTCACCTCTGCCAGATACTTTAGTATCTCCATATATACCACTGGTGCCTTCCAAGTTGCTATCCTGGTGCTGGAGCTCAGAGGGAGTGAGTCTGAGTCAGTGAGTCCACGTGTGTGAGTTCTTTAAGAGGAACTGCTTGGGTCTCCAGAAGTTTCTTCCATTGACTCAATCTCTGTTGGTTTCTTGGTTTTTGCAGCCAGAAGTTGTGGGGACTTATCTTCCTGGACTGGAACCCTGGGCTGGGGGGCCTGACGTGGGGCTCAGATTCCTCATTCCTGAAATACCCTTCTGGAATTTTTATCCACCACATGTGAGTGAGGGACCTACCCATTCTGCATCTCCTCTCCTCCTACCAGTCTCAATGGATGTGGTGGATGTTTCTTTACTTCCATAGCTGTCAGACTGCCATTCAACTCAATTTCTGATGGTTCTGAGTAATGGCTGTTCTATATTTTAGTTGTAATTTTGATGTGGTTGTGCAAAATGGTGAGTTGTGTCTGCCTATGCTGCCATCTTGGCTGGAAGTGTCTCTTACGTTTTTTATAGTTTTGTATTTTACATTTAGGCCTGTGGTCCATTTTGAGTTAATTTTTGTAAAGAGTGTAAGGTCTGTGTCTAGATTTTTTTTTTTGCTTGTGGGTATCCAGTTGTTCCAGCACCATTTGTTGAAAAGACAATCTTTGCTCCATTGTATTGCTTTTGTTCCTTTGTCAATGATCTGTTGACAAAGTGATCTATATTTATGCGAGTCTATTAATGGGATATCTATGCTTTTCAGTTGATCTATCTATTCAGTTGTCAATACCACAGTCTCGATTACTGTGACATTCTAAATTCTAAAGTGACTTTAGAGTATATCTTTTTTTTTAACAGAAAAGTTTTATTTATTTATTTTTAGAGAGAAAGTGGGGAGAAAGAGAGGAACATCAATGTGAGAGAGGA